GATGTGCTTTGCTGAAGGGTAACCATAGCAACGCCCAGAGCGCCCGAGGAGGATGCTGGCTGGTACCCAGGTGAGCTGCTTTTGGTGCAGGGTGGTCCCATCCAGCTCAGTCCGTCAGCCCAGCTCCTTCCCTTGGGGTGGGGGTGGGTGGGGGGGGCCGTGGCTTCCTCGTTTTTTCCTTCATTTCACCTTCCCTAGAGGCAGCCCGGGAAACCCCCAAACTTGCTCCCGAGGGTCTGGTCCCCTGCCTTCTTCCAGCCCTGCTGCCGTCACCTGCCTTTCTCCCACTCCCTGATACGTAACAGAAGAGTAAGGCAGCTGGATTGAAAGCACCCAAAGGAAAGAGCCTCTCCGTTCCATCCAGCTGCCTCGGACCAGGCACCCTACCTCCACCATTCCCAGACCCTGAGCCTCTATGGCTACTTGAGAGGCTGGAAGCCACCAAGCCTACCTGTGAGGTGGGGTGGGGCGGAGATTGGGGAAGGCTGCTGGCAGTCACAAGGCCTGGGCCAATTCAGGAGCCGTTACTCCACAGTCCAGCTGTCAGAGGAGTTTTCTGGATAAGAGTGACTCTCCTTTTGACTGGATATGCCCCACCCACAAAAAAGCGGCAGCAGGGCATCCGAAGATGCTTTTTCCCTGCTTCTTCCAACTATAAAGGGCCCCATCCGCTCTCCTGGCTGGCCCCCCTCAGGGAGATCTCCCTCTGAAAGCCATGGGCTGGAAGAGGTGCCAGAGCCCTCTCCCCTTCCCTTGGCCTAAATATACCGCCCATCAATGCCCACAGCACAATTCAGGACTGGACCTGTAGGAACCCACAGCCACGGGAGGCTTCTTCAGCCAACCATGACTAAACAAGTCATGCCTTAAGATGACCAGAGCTGAGGGAGATGCTATGGTAACGCTGTCTTCAGATCCCACTTGACATTTAACTGTTTTTTATTTATATCCAAGAGAGATTGTTCTAGGTGGAACATGGGGGTTTCTTGTGTATTAAAAATCAGGATGCCTCCATTGTAATCACCAACCAGAATGGGGGGGGGGGGGGGGGGGGGGGGGATGATGGCATGGAAGCGCATTTGTCTTTCCCAAGGAATCAGTACAGTAGCTGCCGGGAAGGAAAATGGCTACTTCTCCATTAGGTTAGTGTTTGCTTCTCCTGTGTTTGACCTGCATTTTTAATTAGCGCTTGAAAGAGAAGCTGTTTAAACAAACCAGTTCTCCCTATTTACTTTCGTGAGCTGCCAGGTAACAAACTTTCCGCTCTAACTCCAATTGGATAATGACTTCCCTCTTTTGTCTTGTTTATTTGCCTCCTTTATTAATTTTACAAATAACTCAAGGCAGCGAACAAATCCAACGCACCTCCCTCCACTAGATGGTGGTTGGAGGGGAGAGAGAGACTGGCCCAAAATCATTTAGGTGGCTTTCATAGCTAAGGTAGAACTTGAACTCCCAGTCTACTTTCTAACCTGGTGCCTTAACCACTAGACCAGGGATCACCACACTTTTGGACCTCAGGGACCACTACATTCATAATCTTAAATCCCCCGGAACACAAAATACGATCTGCCTAATGTCCAGCTGGGTGGGTGTGGGTCATGTGACTAGTGGGCGTGGCCAACTTGATGTCATTCACTTTGAGGAGTGCCTTGCGGGCCTCTACTCGCCCCTCCCCTCCCAGCCATTCCTCGGCTTGCCTGCCTGGGCTCCTTTAGGGCCCCAACAGGAAGCAGTTGTTGGAGCTAAGCAGCCACCACCAGGAAAGCAGCTGGCTCAGTTCAAATCGGATCTGGCCGAGAAGGAGGCTCAGCAGAAGCACCTCACTGAGGACTAGGAGCACAGGCATTCCAAGCAGAGGGAAGATTTGTGGTAGTGCAAGGACAGGTACTGACACCTGGAGGCTCAGCGGGCTGAGATGGTCAGCCAGTTCCAGGCCACGAGGCAGTCCCACTGGAACGAGGCCCTCCCGCTTTTCGCCCCCGGCAGCCCTTCCCTCCAGCCTTCGCCCAAAGCCCCCCACCAGGAGGCTGAAGCAGACCCCAGGTCAGAATTTCTACCCCCCTCTGACCCACACAAAAAGACCCCGAAGGGGGAGACTCTCTGCAGCAACACAAACGTTCATTGCACGTATCCAGCCCCTGATTTAGTGCAATGTAAAAAATGCAAATAGTTTTTCTGTGGACCACCAATTTTTTGTCATGGACTACCAGTGATCCACGGACCACCAGTTGACGACCGCTGCACTAGACCAGGGGTGTCAATCTCGATTTCATTGAGGGCCGCATCAGGGTTGTGTTTGACCTGGGAGGGCGTGGCCAGAACGGGCGTGGCCAGCTCGACACCACTCCTGGAGGGGGCACCTGTGGTGGCCAAGTGCTAAGGACTTCCCTCAGACCCTCCCTCACTCTCATTATAATCTCCTTTCCTTTCTTCTTTCTCCTTCCCTTTCTTCCTTCCTCTTTCCTTATTTTTCCTTCTTCGCGCTCTTCCCATCTTTTTCTCTGTCTTTCCCCTTCCCCTTCCTCCTTTCCTGTCCCTTCTTGCATGCTCAAAACGTTTCTCCTTTTGTTTTGCTTTTAGTGTGCTTTGCTAGCTCTCTGCCAGTGAAAACGGAGCTCGGGGGTGGGGGGGAGGGGACGCTCCATTTTCACTGGCGGAGGCACCGTCGGTCGGTCCTTTGCTGTTTCCAGGCCAGATCTAAGCACTCCATGGGCCTTGAGTTTGACACCACTGCACTAGACCAAACTAGCTCTTAGCAGTTGCCAAGTGCCTGCTGGACCCTTCCTCAGCATTAACGTGTAACCTTCCTTGCTGAGGAACTCCAGGAGTGGAAGGAGAGATACTGCAGGGCAGAGGTCTCCAAACTTGGCCACTTTAAGACTGGTGGACTTCAACTCCCAGAATCCTCCAGCCAGCATAACATAGCCGGCTGGAGAATTCTGGGAGTTGAAGTCCACCAGTCTTAAAGTGGCCAAGTTTGGGGACCCTTGGACCAAAGGGTGACATGAGAGCATTCTTCCAATATTTGAGGGGCTGCGACAGAGACGAGAAGGTAGACCTTTTGACACCAGGAGCTCAGCCTTGGAATTTTTTTTGACTATCTTAAGTTGCCAAGGATATTTTTCAGCTCCCCAGTTTACAGCTAACAGCCTGTTCCAGGGTCTGTGGAAATAATCATTTGCACTGTTAACCAAGAGTTTTCTAGCCACAAGATCCAGGACTTTATGTCTTGGGCCAGTGGGCTCCTCCTTCTAGATCAGGGGTCCCCAAACTTGGCCACTTGAAGATTGGTGGACTTCCAACTCATATGCTGGCTGGAGAATTCTGGGAGTTGAAGTCCACCAGTCTTGAAGTGGCCAAGTTTGGGGGCTCCTGCTGTAAGGTTATAAAACTTCCCCAGCGAAAGTAACCCCTCCGCGAGTCAAATTCTGGAGACCATTCCCAGCACTCAGGCTCACTATGGCAGATTGGGGAAAGACCGCAATAAGAAATGAACAGGGAAAATGTGAATAATCATGACTCCGTTATTTTGTTCCCAGCGCCCTGTTTAACATCCTTCTATTTTACCTGCTTCCCAGCAGCTCTGACTTAAAACTCGACAATCCATTTCATCAGATGCCGGAACAATCGCAGCCTCTCATGCTCCCCCCCACACCCTTCAAGGCAGTTAAAGCTGCATATAAATATTGATGCAGATTAAGGGGAACTGAATGCTCCTCTTTGTCGGGCCCATCTGGGTTCCAGACTGGGGACTGGCGGGTCAAAAGGGCAAGAGACAAATAGGGGTTCCCAAAAAGGCCAAAGCCCTGGGGACCCCCCCCCCCTTAAAGGGAAGAGTTGAGGAACTTACGTCCGACTACAGGGGAGGCAGCTGAGGGGTCCCCACATCGCGGGAGAGATGGGAGGGAAAAAGACCCCAAGTCCCCCCCCACCTCGGGCTGAACCCGGGTAGAGGGAGGAGGGGGGCTTCTCCGGGGTCCCCCTCCAACGCCGAGCACCTGAGGTGGGTGGCGGAGCTTTGCTTCCCAGAAGCTCAAGGCGCCTCCACGTCTCTCCCTTCGCTTCCACGCCCCCCCCGCTCCACGACAGCCTTGCAAGGTAGGCCGCCCCAGGGAGCGAGAGCAAGGGGCGCCGCCGCGAGAGGGGAAACCCCCCCCCCCCCCTCCGCCCCCTCACGGCTCCTCTCTCCACGCAGGAGCCGCTCCCGCAGCAGCCGGACGGATCCCGCCGCCAGGACTCCGCGCCCAGCCCGCCCCACCAGCAGCCGGGACCGGCGGCGGCGGCCGCTCTCTAGCCCAACCCCGGCGCCGGGAGGGGAGACGCCGGGCCTGCCGGGCTCCGGGAAAGAAGGGCAGCCGCCGCAGAGCAGCAGCCGGGCGCTCCTCCCGCCGCCGCTTCCCGGGACGGAGCCCCCGAGGGTTCAGGCGGCGACGCGGCTCCTTTGGGCCGCGCGCCCCCCGTTCCGGGTCTCGACCGCCTCCCTCCGCCCAGAGGCCGCGCAAGGGTCGGGTCCCTGAGTTCGGCCAAGCCCTCCGGCCGCGCAGCCTTGCAAGGTAGGCCGCCCGGGGCCTCTCTCGCCTACCCGCCGCCGGCGTTTCTTCCTCCTGCTCCTCCCGCGGGATCCGCCGCCTCAGCAAAGCCCCCGGGCAGCGGCTGCCCTTCCGCCGCCGGCCCCAGAATCCGTACCGGGGCTGCGGCCTCCGCTCTTCAGGCACCGCGGGCAGCCCGGCCGAGGACCCCTCGAGGGCGCAGGGGAGGGCGGGAGCAGCGGCACTTCCGGCGGGCGCCCCCTGGCGGCCAGAAGCGCGCCAGTGCAGCGGGCGTTCCCGAGGGGGGAGGAGGAGGAGGAGAAGGCGGAAGCGGAGATCGCGGCTCCGTCTCGCCGATCGCTCACACCCTCTGGCTGCAGAGATGCCGAAGAGGAAAGCCGCGCGGCCGCTGCGGGCGCTCTGCCTGGAGAACGTGGCCGCCAACATGCAGCTGCTCTGGGCCAAGGACTACGCCGAGCGCTCCCCGGACGAGCAGCGATTCCGATACCTGCTGGGACCCTTCAACGACCTGGGTGAGGCGCCTGGGGGGAGAGGGGGAGAGGAGAGGGGCTCCGGGGGAGAGGGGGACTCGGAGGAGGAGGGGGGATCGGGAGGGAGAGGGGCGCGTAGGGGGAGGGGCTCGGG